AGAGTTTACCTAATAAAAATGGAATGAGTTATCACACATTAGAGCTCACAATGGCCACATCATATTCGTCTTCTCTAAATCAGAAATCTTAATTTTTTTTTCATCACTGTGTTACCGTGTATCACACTTAGACCATCATGTTTCTCATGTCGTCAGACCACCATTAGCTTCGCTGTTAGCAATCGCGCAAGCCACCACGAATCAATCAAGAAACTCATTCTGCAAAAAGAAACCCTCCACTGCAATGAATTAGACCCAAATCGCGAACCCAAATCGCTATGCACCGCTACATATACATTCCCTCTTCGTTCAACCATCGTGAGAACCACCATCAACATTTCACCATCAACCAAGTTTAAATTTCCAATATTTTATTTATTAGTCTCAAAATATCATTAAATTTGCATAACTTATCTACACATGGATCGAGATAGATCATAGATTATCATTAAGATAATAGTTATCCCTTATATTTCTATTTCTATGATAATAATTAAGATTAAATTTTTTAAATTTATTAAAGATAAATAAGATATCTTTAAAGTGCTTATATAACTTTAAGAAAATTTGACCTTTTTAGGATAAAAACATCAAACATCTAATTTTTTTATTTTGTTGCAAGGTAATTATTCAATGTCCAATTCATTCTTACTTAAAAGGATTTTGCTTTTTTTTTTATTGAAATTTGTATGAATATTTTTATTAAATTCTATCTAAATTTAATTAAGACAATAAGAATTTTTTAAGACTAAAGCCTTTTCTTAAGTTTTGTTATTTGATAAATAAATCTGGACTATGATAAACAAAACCGTTTTTGTGTATCTAATATGTAATATACAATGAAAAAAAAATCAAGAAGATACTTAATCATGATATAATAATAAGTTATTCTTAAAGATTCATAGATATATGTTATGATTTCATTACAAGTGTTAAAAAGACAAGACAATAGTCAATAAGCACCAAGCACACACTATACATAAAACAAGAACTACTAGATGACTATGCTATATTAGCAACAAATAGCCTTTAATGAGATTCATTTTGTTTAAAGCTCTCACATTCATTTTTTAAACTGGCCAGTTTTTAATACGTTAGTATGCATAATTTGAAGCAATGATAGCAATACCTTGAAAATTGCACTTGTATATCAATGATTTAATTTAATATTTTGTATTCTCATGACTAGAGAGTATAGGATAAATATATTTTGATATTAAATGTAGAGGTTTTAACCATGTTTATGGAGACCTAAAACAAAGAACAATGTAAATATATTTTGTATAAGGGTTAGAGAACCCCACGTGCTCCAATATATATATATATATATATATATATATATATATATATTTTGTTGATTAAAAAAAACATATGATATTATGTGATATACATCTCATAAATAGATAACCAATTTTAACAAAGTTGTGACACTTGTAAACAATGACTATTCTCCTTTATCTTTTTTTTTTTCCAAATAATATCTTTATATATGCTCATGAAAAAATAACTGTTGTTGTATACTATTTTTTTTCCTCTTGATTAGCTTTGAACTAAGATAAATATTTATTTTCTTCTTCTCTTTGTTATTGTCTATCAAATCGAAATGCATTATGTTTCATGTAACATTAAATATTCTTTTCTTCTCTGTATAACTTATGATACTTGAAAGTATATATCTTCCTAAATTGTATAACTTTTACTTTAAAAAGTGAAAAACGTGTTGGACAAATAATTAAGCTAGAGTACACATGTACTCATAATTTATAGAACATTTATTAAACAAAGTCTTTTTATACCTTAATTTTAAACTTTATTGTATTTAAGCATTTAATAAAAAGAATACGGTATTGAATTTTTGTTTTAACATAGTGAATATAAGATTTGTTCCTTTTAACTTTTATTCATATTTCATTTATCTTTATTTAATTTACAATTTATTGAGATAATGTTAACATGAAATGACATACTTTATCTATTTTGAAATGAATCTAATGTTATAAAGTATGTGTTCACTTAAACATACGTGTTTTTTTAATAATTTTTTAATATTTATTCATATATAATTCTTTTTCCGACTTTAATTATTTTGAAATAATTAATATTCAAAAGTATAATATTTTGATAAATAATCTCGGTGTAACATCCCAAAAATACAGCAATAAACTATATAATAGAATAATTACATTTAATAACATTTTAGTTCAGTCTTACACTAAGAAAACGTACGATTATGGCCGAACGGCCTTACAGAAGGAGTTACGAAATTTAAAACTATACAGTAGTACAAGTCTGACGAGACGGTTTATCAAAAACCAAATACCGATCAGTTCTACTAACCCAAACAGGAAGGTGATCGAACGATCACCTCACTACAAAAACTAAACTACTATCCGAACATTCTATTGTTCGGTCTTGACTTCGACTTCGACCAAATTTTCTTCTTCCAGTGTATCTTCCAACAGCGCGTCCCCTTCTGCTCACATCCACACGGATGATCATTGCAATGACAAGGACGGACGTACAAAACCAGACAACACAAGAAAAACACAGGGTAAGCTTATGTAATTTAATTCAAGTATAAACATACATTTCTCATATTCAAACACATAAGATATATTTCAACATACGTTTCAAGCAAGGCCTACTACTAGACTGACTGTTCGGACTGTATGAAATCTGTGTAGCTACGACGTTCTTGCACCCGGGTGATGTAGTAACTGGAATACTCTCATCAGCTGCCACCCGAGGTTAGTCCTATCTGTCCAAAGTACCCCTAAGGACTAGGACCTCCTGCCGTTCCCACACATGACCTACCCTCCTCTACGTGAGGACGAGTACTCACGGAACATCAGGATGAACCGCCAGCTTAGCATTACCACATTCATACTTTACAAATTCCAATATTCAATCATGAGTCGTTCCTCCCCGGAACGCTCGTTCAAAATCCACAACATTTCATTCCTCTCATATTCTCTTCATCTTTTATTATCCATCATTTTAACTTCATTTTTATTCACCGATTTTAAGAACATCAAATACCGAACGTTCAGTCCTCACTCAAAACGAGGATGAACACTAGGAACGAGACAGAGAAGTCTCCTGTTCCAGAATAGACTAAGACCGAGAGGGTTACTGTCAGATTTAGAAAGAAACTGAGTACAATTATATGACATATGGACGAACGTTACTTACAACATGAATCAGTTAAATGAACTGACTCTCGCGAGCTCAAACCAACACTCAAAAAAACATATTAAGTATTGAGGCTCTAGGCCGGGACCAATGAATGTAAACACGTCAAGACGTTTAAAGAATCATACTATAGAAGAATTTACATACAGAAACCTAATGCCAGTCAATGTTCGAACACGGTGAAGGGAGATTCTATTGAAATTGAACGAATGCTATTCCATCAAGATAGATCAAACTATTTACGAGTACAAGCGCTTGGTATAAGACCGAGCACTACTCATTTCGAGAGCTTGGTGTGAGACCGAGCATTACTAAACTGATAATAGAAATTAATAATTAAGATATTATTGAAATTGTGTTTAAGAATAACTAACATATACAAATACATATATAAAAGAATTTTAAGTTTATCACCGAATACTCAGATGCAACTACGCTTGGCCGAACGCTCAAGCACAGTATTATCACAAGAAGACGCTCATCCTCAACTAAGATTCTTTCCAAATGAAAGAATCCAATTTCAAACAAGTTTACTAGAAACACCGAACGGTCAAGGACCGTTCAATGACGAACGTATATTATCATAGAGAGATTTCATATTCAGAATTCATTTACATTCAACTTATTTCTCAGCATATAACTTCATAATGTAATACATTCATATCATAACACATTTCATATTCCTCATACATCATAACATAATAATCATCCTATCTCAAATAATCAAATATCACAAAGATCATGCTTCATGCAACTCAAAGAACGTCCATGCAGCACAGTAAACATACAAATTAAATTAAATAAGCTTCCCTTACCTCTTAAGGTAGCCGAACGTTCACAGATACATACTAGGGTTCTCCTTCTAACAGAGGCCTTAACGTTCTACAGCACGTTCTAAGAACTATAACCAACATAAAAACCAGAAAGATACTTAGAATGATAGGATCAACTCATGCAACCAGGAATCTGGGTTTTGCATGTTACAGAAAACACACGAATGGAGGAAGGATGAACTTACCAGTTCAGAATCCTAAACTGATCGGTTCAAACGATCGTCCTCTACGCCGGAAGAGTAGAACTGGTGCCTGAAGGTTGATCGGAGAAGAGAAAATGTGAGAATTGGTAGAGAGAAGGGAAAACGTTTTAGAGAGAAGGAAGAGAAAAATGAGAATTTCAGAGTCTGGGAAGAAGAGTGCATGCAGAAGAGAGTGAGACGGAAGTTTCAGAAAAAATCAGTTTTCTTCCACTATCTAATTTCTGATCCTCGTTGCTTGACACCTGGCGTCCGTGCAGAAGGATTTTTGGGTGCATTTTAATGAGGTCTGACACTCGGGCTCTCCTTTCAAATTCGGAAATTTTTCTAGGAACTTCAATTTCACTACTTCCAAATTTTATTTTTATCAGAAATGCTCAATTGAAAATTTATATTTTAATTTGAATGTGGTAGTTTGTGGTAATTTTCTTTTGAAGAACATCTCACACTATGGACGTTCTCGTTAATTGGATCTTTGCATGTATTTGATGAAAACTCATTGGTTCGAATATTTGTATTCAAATACAACAGATATTTTTTACATTAAGAGAATAAATTTTTATACAACTTTTTTTTAAAAAAAAGAGTTTTAATGCAATTTGTATTTATAACATTTTTGTAAATAGTATCTTATTTAATTTATTAATCCCGTTTCCCACAGAATCTGTGCAGGAAAGAACATTGACAAATCACGTTTGCCACATGGCAGAAGCATGCGGTGACAGCAACACAACGCGTTGTCGCTTCGTACTTAAGCGATAAGCAACTTTGAAAACTGCTGTCGTATGCTTCCATCGTTCTATTCTCCCTTATAAAACGCGATTCCAAAACCACACAATGGACAAGCCCTTTATCCTCAGAATCTCAGAACTTGCAATCCTCGTTTTGTTCGCTTCAGTTTGCTTAACAATGTCGGATTCCGCCGCCACACCGCTGGACCAGCACGCCACCGGTTCTTCCCCTGCACCGGCGGTTCACATCATCTACACCGAGAGGCCACAGGATGAGGAGCCTGAGGCTTACCACATCCGAACCCTCTCCGCCGTTCTTGGCAGGTACGCTCTTCTCATACAAAACCGCGCTATTCGATATATGCTTCTCTGAAGAAATCACAAATTGAACTGCGTAATGCCTTAATTTTAGAATAAACCATCGATTTTGTCTCTTTTAAGTAGTTTTCAAACTGTTGGGATTGTATGATTGGTCTCTAGAGTATTGAATTATATCGATTTAGTCCTAAATTGGGACTAATTTGAAGAAATTTTTATACCTAAAGTGTTTTATATAAAACCATTATTCATATCAAAGTGACATGATTTCTGGTGCTTTGCCTACTTGTGTGATTTTTAAAGACTGCGCTTAGAATTAGGGTGGGTTTAGAGTTTAGGATCTAACTCAACACTGTGAAATCAGTTTGTTTGTAAGGTGAGAATTGTCTATCACTTCTGTAATTTAATTTGCTTATGTTATTAGTCACATGGAATCTTCAATACACCTTTCATGCTAAGGATTCGATAGTTTCAATGTCAAGGTTGTAAGATTGTTAAATGTGATGGTTGTAAGACTGAATGCTTGTGGGTTGTCCAGGTGGCTCCATAAGCCAGCAACAATTGATATGATAGGCTTCAATGCCATATTAGAATATGGGTTTTAAGTTTTTAATTCTATACAACCAGTGTTGTAAATAAGTGTGATTCACTTTCACTGCTCTTTTAGCAGCAGTGATTTCTTTTTAGAGAATTTTAATTAGAATGCACTCAAATTTTCATTCAATTATAGATTTTTTATATATATTTAAAGAAGACTGAAATTGAAGTCTGGAAAACATTCAAGCTTTGGTAACTATTTATACCGTTTAGGAAACTAGTTATATTAGTGTTTGCCTACTATTTCCCAAAAGGACTAAATGATTAAAATTTATGATTTTAAGGAGGAAAGTAAAAATTTGACACATTTAAGAATTCTGATTTGTACAGCTAAAATTTTCGTCAGAGTAATTCAGTGTGTGTGTGTTTCTTAAAGTAATGATGTGATTGGTTAACGATTGCAGCGAGGAGGCTGCCAAGGAAGCTTTGTTGTACAGTTACAAATCTGCAGCTAGTGGGTTTTCTGCTAAGCTTACTCCGGAGCAGGTTGAACAGATTTCAAGTAAGTTCGGTTGTTTTCAATCTGTTTTTTAAATAATCATTTATTCGCTCTTTTAAAATGCTTGATGTTACATGTTTCATTTTTGCTATTTTATTCTTTACCCTTCTGGTTAATGACTATTATCTTGAAATTCCCTGTTGTATTGTGACTATTTTACGTTTTTTGCATTTAAATGTTTTGGATGAGTGTCTGATATCTTTGTTCTTTCGTTTTGGCTTATCTATATAGTTTCCAATGTGATCGTTGTTATCAGAATTTTATTTAATGTTTAAAGATAGATTATTCAAATAATAATAATAATAATAATAATAATAATAATAATAACCTGTTGGTTTGAGGTAGTCGGAACTTGGAGTAGTTTTGTTGGTGTGGCTTAATTTTGTGGAATTGCTCAGACAACTATCACTTGGTTTTTTCTTAGTTTTTATGCAGAATCTGGCTTTTAGCTGAATTCTCTCGATGCACAGTTTTTATTATGAAATTTTCGGAACTGATTCAAACTACAATCTTTTTATTTATTTTTCCTAGACACCTTAGTCAAGCAACCTAGTAATGAGAAGAGCAGTTTCTGGTACCTTTGCAATCCTATAGTACATGTTACTCCTCTTAACCTGGTTGGCATTATCCTTGGATCTTTTGAGGAAACACTAATGTTCTTTTATGCTCTGATATCTCGTGAAAAGTGTTTCAAACATTCAGCTGATAGAACTTCTTGAACCACATTGTTAGCCATAATCAAGTTCCTGAGGTTTCATGACGCTCTTGTGTGTGCTATGCATGTCTATTTCCACAAAATGCTTTCTCCCATGCTCATAAAGTTCCAGCATTGCAATCATAATCAGGTTATAAACCACCATAAAGTATACATTTGAGGATAAAAAGAATAGAGTATTTTCATATTCAATGGAAGGAACTAAGGCAAATTTTTCTTTAGAAGATTAAAACTGAATTTGAAAAATTTTAGATGGATGAAGAACATATTTTCCCCTTTTTGAACTTGAGAAAAATTTTCAAATCTTATATTGACTAATGTGGAAAATGTGTTAATTTTTTAAAACTTCATATTGTGCAGAGCAACCAGGTGTTCTTCAAGTTGTTCCGAGCAGGACATATCAGCTGCATGGAGCAAATAATCTGCAGTAAAGAATGCCAAACTAGACATGTATCTGTTCCAAACTGTTTTCTATATCGTGTGTAAACTAAACTAGTGTGGCTTACTTAGCCTTTATACTTATGTCAATAAACACGGGATCAATGTATAATACACTGTATCGTGCTTCATGTTTATCATTCTCTCATGTATTCTAATATAATATATACACGATAACAAAAAAATCTGTTGCCCAGATAACCATCAATAATTGATACCGACAAATATTTACTACATTAACTTTCTTTACTAAATTAATTTTCTTAATTTTTGTTTTTGTTTTTCTAATTGTTGAAAGCTTATGCAGATATTTACTACATTAACTCTCTTAATTTTTGTTTTTGTTTTTCTAATTGTTCAAAGCTTTTTTAAAAAATGATTTTTTTGGGTTTCCCTAGTTCAGGTCATGTTTAGTTACATGGAATTTATAAATCTCATCTCTTATTTTCGTTTTAAATAAACAAAATAGAAGTTATTTTCTTTACAAAGAAATAATTTAAAAGCATCGCTTAAACCTAAAATTTTAGACACTCCCCATTTAAAGAAGTAAAGAAAAATTGTATTTTAAAACAACTTTTTTAACATGCATAAACTAGAAACACTCGTAATCGATAAAATAATGATCCTATAAATTAAAAAATCGGCGACCATTCAAATATAGCACTGAGTTCACTCAGTTTAGTAGCTCCAGAAAAATGGGACAGTCTTCTGTAATCTTCCTCTGCGCTCATCTTCTTCTTCTTCTCTTCTTTTCTCCATCAACTTATGCCTCTGCATCCGATGAGGCGGCGCTGCTGGCGAAGAGGCTCATCAGTGACCTCAATCTGTTCCCCGATGATGCCGTCAACTTCGTTCCCGTTGCTAATTCCTCGCTCCAACCGCGCAAGATCGTCGAGAAGCGCCTCAGGTTCCCGAACCTGGTTGCTTCGGATTCCGAGCCTTCGGTTGAGGATTTGGGTCACCATGCTGGTTATTACCCCATTGAGCATTCACATGCCGCTAGGTGCGCCTCTCGTGGACTCTATTTTATGTTTAATTTAGTTTCTGAGTTTGTCTTACACTTAGTTATACCCTTATTTCGTTTTGTCTTCTGCTTGTTTTAAGTTATACACTTTGCCATATGTGCCGTTACTCGGAAATGCTTGTAAATGAAAGTAGCATGGTTCTAATTTTGATTCAACTGATGAAATTGACTGTTAAGAGATTTTAGCAACAATTTTTTTAATTATGCACTCGTCAATTTTAGTAAATAAAAATAGTTTAATTTTAATAGAACTTGAAGAGTAAACCTATTACATAAATTCTCCATGCTTCTTGCTCATAAACTATCCTTCCTTCCTTCCTTGATTGTTTAAAAACTATTAAATGATATTTCTTATACATTACGGTAATTCGTTTAGTTTTTTTTTGAAAAATATTATATTGTACTATCTGATGTAAAAATAGTACAATGAAAACAGGAATAATTTGTTTAATTTCATAAAATCTGAGAAATATAATTGATGATATCAATGAATTTTAGTCTTTCAACTAATGCATACTAACTTACGAGGCTCATAGAACTAGAACTAACTTACGAGGCTCATTAACTCGTAACTTTAAGACATTATTTAACAATTTTTTCCCAAAACTATATAAAATTTTAGGAAAACAAACAAAAAAGAAAATATTTAAAGAGATAATATATAATTTAAACCCTAAAAACGCCAATTTCTGTTGCATTGAATCTGTTGGAAAAACTGAGGGAAAACAATAATTACATAGTTTTTTAGGAAAGTAGATCTCTATCCTTAAGGATTTATTTACTGTATATGCACAATTTTTCCAAGATACAAGAGGAAGTTCTTGAATATCTACAAGGATTCACAACTAGAAAGAATTACTCTATTAATAGAGTAGAAAAATAAATTGGATCATAGAATGATAAGAAAAGAGAGAAGAGAGAAGAGAGAAAATATATGTAGAATTTTTCTAATTGGAGAAAATATTTGTAGAATCTTCTAGTTTATTTTTCAGTATACTGTTTTCTTATTTCCCTTTTTTGGAATATTAGATTGTTACAAATAGGTGTAATGAGAATGTAATAGACATGAATGATAATAATAAAATTCATTCTCTTTTCAAGTCTTTCCATGGTGGAGAACTTAAGGTTTACAAAACAAAGAGATGGGAAAGAAATGAAAATCAAAGAGAAGATGTAAGCCCCCTCCCAAGGTTCTTGGCATCTGCTCTACAATCCAATTGAGCCTCCCATTCGTGTCTCCATCTTCAAATCAAAACCCATCTTCCTCTTCAACCTCAAAAGGGGGAAAACCATCATGGATGAAGGAGGAAACCCAAGGGGGAGAGGGAGAGCTTCTCAACACCCCAAACAACCTCCTAAAGCCTCTCCAAAGCATCTTGGGTGATTCTATTTGTGTAAAATGAGGAATGAATCAAAACCATCGCGAGAAGCATGATTAAGTACTCAATTTTTGACATGTTAGTGTTGTGACTGCTGAGTTTCGTCTCAATACCGCTGGATGCAATAAGATAAAACACGAACAAGGGTTCTCTATTAAACCATTGCCACCAACGTTAGTTCTATAGCACTAGGTGGCGCCCAACGCCATTTTTCACTGCCCAATAGTGGCTTTGCAGAAGCCTGTAGCACTTGACATCAACCTATGTAGGAGTGGGTGGCGCCCAATGCCAGTTTCTACAACCCAATGCTAGTTTCCATTGCCCAGTGCGATACCTCCCGTTTCCACTGTCCAAATTCATTTTTTCTTATCAAAATATGCTTCCTTGAGTTTTCGCTTATTTTCCTCCACCAAAAATACTTCTTCCTACTCACTTATTTAACACACTTAAAAGAGAGATTAGAAGTAAAATAAGCTCAAAACAACTAAAACACAACAAACTGCAAAAATATACTAAACTTAAGGATTAAACAAGATAAAAACTTCAAGGAATTAATTTTATTCAGTAAAACAAACACACCAAAACATGTAAAAATCAACGTTATCCGTTTCTCACTTTATTGTAGAAGGACATGGGTGACCATGTGTATAACAAACTGAATTTTATCAATGACATAAAATATCATGGACTAAATTGCTTATTAATTATCATTTTATTTAGGGACTTGAATGCTAACTGCGAGTGAGAAAAGTGTCAGCATGACACTTGGTTGCTAATTTGGACTTTTGTTATCAGACTCACTGACAATAGGACTAATTTCCCTAAAGGAAATATTATTTTAGGGACTTAAAGGCAAAGAGAGAAATTTCAAAGACCAATCGACTAGTGTCTTCAATTTTTAGGGACATGTTATGTGCTTCACTCGTTATGAATAGTTTAATTTGAGAAAACAATGAAATTTTTTTTGAAAGTAACTTATAATGAGGTGAGAGTTATTTTTAGGTGCCTTAAAGATGAAGAGAGTAAAACACTACAGATTGTCACTCTATTTTATTATGTAGAGGTGAATTGTCTATTTTTGTGAAATCGTTTTCTTACTATGGAGTACATTGTTTTCACTATAAATTGTAAGCTAATATGCAATTTAGTCCTCTCTAGTGGTAACTTTGTGTTGGTTTGCTCCTTGAGAGTTTTTGTCTATATAAGTCACTTTGTTGACGTATGGAATTGTTAGTAAGTTGAAAACTTGTTTGGGTAAACTTTGGACCATGTTGACACTTTTGAAGATCATTATCTATAGATGTGCACTTACTTGGGTCAAAGCAACACATGTTGCTACTTTTAGGGTCAAATTGTATTTAAATTGCAAAATTAAAATATAAAGTCTTGAACTTTGGGACAATTATAATTGCATGGGTTTGGTAAATTCCAACTAGCCTTCGAACCTTGTACATTTAAAAATTTATTGTGTTATGTTGTCGAGTTGTTTCATGAGCTTTAATAGTGTGGTCAATTATAGATTTCAATGAACAGTATATTTATGTCAGTTGTTTCTTGCATTTGGTTTGTTCTGCAGGATGTTCTACTTCTTCTTTGAATCACGTAACAGGAAGGAGGATCCTGTCGTTATTTGGTTGACAGGGGGACCTGGGTGTAGCAGTGAATTGGCTTTGTTTTATGAAAATGGCCCTTTCAAAATTGCTGATGACTTGTCTCTTGTTTGGAACGAGTATGGTTGGGACAAGGTATTTGATATTCACTTTATCAATGTTATATGTGCATGTGTGTATGCAGGTGATGGAAACAATCTAAAATCTAATTTTGAATGAATTCATATTGCTTCTTGAGGGACAGCTGCCCACACCTTAGGCTCCATTGCATGGGTTATAAGTTCAAAACCTTCTTATTGGAGTATGTTGACATGACAAAATTTAAAATCTTGAGTTATAAGAATGAAAAAAAGATTTTTTTATCTTGAAAACTATTTAAAACCAAATAACACATTAATTAATGTGAGTCTTATAAGATTCTTCAATTAATGTAAAAATGACAAGAAGGTCTTGAAAGTTACGTGACAGGAGGAGACCCACTAAAGGTAAATTAAGATCTCATAGAATGACTTTTACAATCAAATTTAGGAATCTCAATTGACTTAGGATTCAAGTTTAAATTAATATATTTTTGTGACTATTTATACGTGTAAATGTTCTTGTTGAGATGGAATAGACCCCACAAGACCGAACCAAACACATCTTACCTTTCTGAATTCTTTTGTGAGATCCAATCTTGATTACCTTGGAATATTATTCTTGTTCTTCTTGTTTGAAAGAGGGGAAGGTGCATACAAATACATTTCAACCCTCTAGTCAGCAAGGAATTTGGGTGAGGCAGTAAATGCTCCATAAAACCTTGTCAATACTTGGCAACGTAGTGTATTTGTAGTATTTTAATGAGTCTTTTACCTAGATGGGCCTAGGTTGACTAAATCCATTTGTCTTAATTCCTAATTAGCATTTGATTCTTTGATAACGTTATTTTGATATCCAAGCCCTTTTGGGTCTTTTCTTTTTAGTTTTTGTGAATAATGGAGAAGATTGGGAGAAATCTCCCTTGTGTATTTTGCATACACATAGGGTAGTTTATTTATAATGTAAGATATGGGCCAAGACCCTTAATACAGAATGGGCTTAGCCCAATTAACATAAACACACATCTTAACATCTAACAGTTTTAATTGAATGGCTATTATGTTTACATACGACAATGGCGTGTCCAAATTTACTACAATGATGGCAAGCAATCTTTAATAATTTTCTTAATTGTTTCTTACTTTTACGGTCATAGCTTAGACCAGCTTTATTTGTGACATGCTTGAAGTTTGAAAACAAAAAGGTTTTGACCTTTGGAGCTTAGTAAATTTTGAAATATCATGCTTACAACATGATATTTTTCTTTCTCAACTTTTAACTTTCTCAGCATCTTGTGTGAGATTCTATTCTAGACGTGACATCTTCTTCATCAGACAATAAAGATTTGATCTTGAGTTTGAGTCTTCTCATTCTGACAAAACTAGGTTATAAAATAAGGATTGTACTCACTTATATACTATAAATTAACCTTATTTCTAGTTAATGTGTAATAAAGTTTGATGATGACGATAAAACTGAATCATAAAAGAAGAGAGAAACCAGTTGTATGGCTGAAAAGTGCAAGATTATAATTTTTACTCTGAAAAAGTACATCACTAATTTGTTCTATAGCAGAACATATAAAAGGGAAGAGGAAGTTACGTAACAGTTGAGAGAGGTTTTGGAGCACTTCAGACTTGTGTAACTGCCTATAATTATTAATAGTCTAGAAAAATAAAAATAAATAAAGACACCTGAAACATAAATAAAATAAAGTACAGAAAATACATAAAAAATACAACACTCTAGATAAATAGATAATGTGGAATCTCATGTTGAGGCATGGACATCTTGTGCATGGAATTGGATATTTGTGGGTGGTCAAACAACAACCTGATAGTGGATGACATGATAGACCTAATTAATTTTGCTATGATAGACTCATACCATATTAAGAAATGAGTTTAAACTTAACTCATCCTTACAAAACTCACTTGTAAGGTGAGGATTGCTCTTATTTGTATACTATAAACTGAACTTATCTTTAGTTGATGTGGGATTTCCAACTTTCTTGAATCTTGGTTTATTTCTTGAGCTTGGGGCACTCTGTCTTAATGTGCCATGGCTATCTGCATTCATAGCATATGACCTCTTGATCATCTTCAACCTTCTTCTATTTTTATAAATCTCTTGTTGCCTTGGCCTGTTTGTTTGAGCACTGCCTAAACTTGCTTCACATCCATGATATATCCTCACTATTTGAGTTTTCTGACTCACCACAGAAGTATCACTCTCCTCCTCGAGAAATTTCAAACCATAGTTTCCTTGCATTTGTTATGAGTTTGCTTTGAAGCAGGTCTTGCTTGGAGGTCTTTGTCATGCTATTGTGGCCTCCTTTTGATTATGATCTTGGAGATGCATTTCATATACTTTTAAGATTCCTAAGAGCTCATCCCATGTGGGCTTCTTCAAGCCACGACCACCTATATGACCGTGGTTTTGGGTTCGCGCACCTTAGGCATGTTGTATAGCAACTTCAGCTTGATTTATGCCTTGAAGAAGCTTTGTTCTAAAGCTTCAAATTTGTTCACAAGAACTTGCAATGTTCCAAATATGTTGACACTCACCATCCTTCATGGTGAATACTCATACTGACACGTGAGGGTGACTACTTTCCTTAGTTGACCATCCTAGTTTCTAATGTAGTTTATCTTGAGATAGTCCCAAATCTCCTTGATTGTTTTCAACTTGTAAACTTTCTCATATTCATTTTTTGATAACGCACAAATAAGTGTGTATTTGGCTTTATTGTTCAACTGCATGTAGTCAAACTCCTCTTTTGTCTTGTCTTTCTTCCTTGGTGATGATTCTCCATTGCTTATAGTGTGAGAAATTGATGTACATCTCCTTTATCGCATCAATGCATCCTTGCTTTACCAAGACAACTTCCATCTTTTTCCTCCATAAGTTGAAGTCATTCTCACAAAAAAAACTTCTCAATGTCACACTTGGTGGCCATGTCTTCAAACCTTGTGTTAGATTCCTTTATGCAAGGAACCAAACAGCAGCAAATAATACTCACACACTCAACAGTATAAGGAATATGTATGTATATGTATTGATATTTCCTCTGTAATGATAAGAAAAGATGAATACAGGTATCTCACTCTC